CTCTCTCTCTCTCTCTCTCTCTCTCTCTCTTACTTTCTTTCTCTCTCTCTCTCTCTCTCTCTCTCTCTCTCTCTCTCTCTCTCTCTCTCTCTCTCTCTCTCTCTCTCAATCCTTCTTTCTCTTTCAAACTCTTTGGTTTGATTCCTTCTGTCTGATACATATTTTACGTCATATCTATCACAGAGCTCTTGACAAGAAAGAAAAGTCTTTGAGAATCTGAACATGTCATATTGTTATCATTCCTTATTGCTGCCACGATATTATTGCCAGTGCCTAAACTGACAGGAACAACATTAAATATGCGTTGAAAAAAAAATAAGAACTTCACAAGACGCGTACAATATGAGAAACTTACAGTTAATACATTTTGAACTCCGCTTCAAAGAGGAGAGTGCTAAAAAGTGGATACATAGTACATAATAGTTGGACAATATTGGTCTCAAATGGATTCGGTTTGAGACAAAAGAACAGACATGAGATTTATGCTACAGGACAGTCAGCTTGGTTCACAGATTTGAAGTATCTCGTTCTGACGCCAGCAGCTTGGAGGTTGCTTTTGATGGCGTTCAGGTTAGCAGGGGCTACCCCTCTTTCTCTGGTCAGGATCCACGCAAACTCTGGAATTGGAAAAAAAAAAGAAGTAGAGTTTAGTTTATACTATGTGGCTTGCAGGTATGATTTATGTCTGTTCTTGTATGATCGTAATCTCGTGCTATATCATAACAAGTTGATCAGAATGGGTTGTTTTGGCAGAGGTTGTAAAGTAACTTTGATATTTTAAGGGGGATTTTAAAATTTCAGTGAACTGACGAGAAAAGTGCTCTTTTGATAGCCTGCTGATGGTAAAAATACATGTCGTACTAACTATAGGGTGCGTGGTCAAAGTTCAAATCCAAGTCAAGATGTTTTTTTCATGTGGAAAGCATTTACTGCTTTCCATAACCATCTCATTATAGGTAGTACCTTAGGTATAAATGTCTATAATGGTTGGAATGGATTGTAAAGTTCAAACTCAAATAAGCAAGCTGTTGTCTACTTACGGATATTCACAGGCAGTCCAGGCAGGTCGAAACAAGAGAAGACAACCGCGTAGTTGTCGTAGTCCGTCTCTACGATGTAGTAGTTGGGCTCATTGCCACCAATACCATCAACTGGAACAGTTCAGGGGAAACTTTATTATACACACTATGGTATGATAGTAATCATGGTACAAGCTTAGGGCTACTATAAATTTCATACGGTCATTAATGATTTAAGATATCCGAAACAAATGTATATCTCTCACAGAAGAGAGCCAAAAGTGTGGAGGGCCTTGACAATTCTCCAAACTTTCCAAGTTCAAGAGGGCCCAACTAGAGATTTGAACCAAAGTCATCAACTTCAAAGTCCATTACGATGCTAACTGATTTATGTCCACTTTTGTATACATGAATTGCTTCCTCGTAATAAATATCTATTGACACTGTCAAAACACACAAACAATAGGAAAGTAACATTATGGATGCTGTTGTTAAGATTTTTGCAGAAAAATCCCCACCTACTTTTCAGTAACAAATAATGCTATCATGACTTTGGCCTAAGATTCTATTCATATTCTATAAATCATTTTGATACGCCATAATATTTTGGTATGATACTGAATTTTTTGTCTAATCAACTTTTCCAAGTTTCCAAAACAGCATTTGGAAAAGAAAACAATAAGTGCCTTGTAAATTTCCGACAGAGAAGGTGAGGAAAAAACTTACTTTGTGAGAAGGACACTTTGAGCTCGGCGGGGGAAGCAGGGTCCGGTGTGGTAGCGTCACCGTTGATGGAGGCCGGCCGGCTGAAGATAGTACGTCCGAATCTGGTGGGGTGGGGCAGAGAGGGCTGGTGAGTTTGTTCTTCCTTAACCTCACTAAATGAGAGTATTGTGTGTACAGGTGTTTCTACGTATGTAGTAATTGTACGTGTGCTTGCGTTGGAGTTGACAATACTGTAGCAGTATACTAATAACCGAGACAACAACTATATGGCAATAGGACAAATGTTGCTTCTACATAAAGACGTACGCTCTTTTTCTTTCTTCAAGTGCCACACACACATCCGTAATTATGGTTCGCAACTTATTTCTCTTCTCGGATGCTCTTTTAAAAATAATAACCCATAATGCCCAGGTAATTCCCCTTCACCTGTCTGTTCAGTTTCTTAAGATAACCTTTCCTAGGTCAACTTCTACGTATGTCATTATTTCTTAAAACTTGCTCTTTACAATTTGTCCGTATGTAGGCACTTACAATGTCAAACTTGGCTGACCTCCGAAGTAATCCATCTGTTTTCCCTATCTACAATAATGTATTCTATATACTCTACTCACAGCTTAAATGTCCTGGTGCCGGCGTTGAGAACACTGATGGTCTGGTCAGGGTTCAGGCCGTACTCGGCTCTCACACAGTCCATGCCCGCCTCGAACCAGTTGTCGAAGCGCTCGTACTCGTACCACGTACCCAGGTACTGGAGGGGAGGAAGGAGGAAAATGAGGGGGGGGGGGGGTAATGTAAAGTAAAGTACGTAAGACAACAAAGACAAAATGTGGTGGTGGGTGGTAGGTTTTGGACGGTGGGTGCAGGAAAGAGACGCAAGTTGATTGGCGGTGTACTTTCTACACATACAGTGATTGGGGTCATGTTCACTTTGCTGAGAGTACGCTTATTGTAGGGCATTGGTGTTATTATGTTGTAACTGTAATTGTTATTGTATGTGGTGCAGCTGATTTTTAAATGTTTTGTTAACGAGTATGATTGTGTTGTTGATGCTGAAGAGACAAGCATGAGGATGATAAAAGAAAGAGAAAATAAAAACAGGTAGGGATGCTGTAGAAACATAAGTTATCTCATCTTATTTATCTTCCAGTAAGACTACTTTTCTCTACGAACAGATTTGCATTATATTATTATTACTATCAATATACGCGTTGTACCACTAAAAGGAGACAGAACGATCAGAACACATTTAGTCCCCTGCTACCAGAGACAAATCTGAAAACGTCATAGACAGACAATTGCACATACTCCACACAGAACAAAAACATGCCACATATTATTATGTTGCTAGTTGCCACATACCCGACTGGGGTCAAAAGCAGCCTGAGTCCCCGTAGCAGGACATCTTCCCGGACGGAGGACGACCCCTTGGGCTGCTGCAGACGACAGAAGAGTGGAGAGTAGCATCAGCACTGCAGACGACACGGCGCTTGTCAGTTTCAAGGAAGACATCGTGGGGAAGATTTACTTGGAGCTAGACACGAGAACAATGTGCTCAGAGATAATTCTTTCTTCTTGGGCTGTTGTAGTTGCTTTCGTGAAGAGTGGAGACGGTCTGGTAAAATGAGAAGGGTTGTTCTGTTTCTGAGTTGTTTCTGCTTGATCACCAGAAGTCGGAGATGCTGTGTCTGTGGAGTCGCCAAGTTTATATAGCGCTCAAGACGTGATGACGTTTGGCGCAATTTACGTAAAACTCACGCCATTGTTTTTTCACCGGCGTAAAAATCCTTGAACCGAAGAGAATCTTTGCTTAAACTGTGTCCGCCGTTCATTCATAAAAACTCTAAATATAGCAGGTTCTCTCAAAACCACAGGAAGGGGCCTTGGTGGGTTTGACCTGTCTGACGTCACCACCGAGCACGGGGCGTCACAACAGGTAGTAGCAGAGGTCACCAACTGTCATAATTTACTTCCCGTCTGCTGCGTTTTAAGGATATATTTCTGATCTTCGATGGGAAACTTTTCTTTTTCTATCGTATAGTTCCAGTTTTCTTTTGAGCCCCCCCCCCCCCCCCCCCAAAAAACCAACCACCGACCAAAAAAGCCCCCCTCCTCCCCTCTCTCTATCTTAATTACCGAGGAACCGCGACAAGCCGAACCCTCGAGTAACGGTGGGCAGGAGGATCTGCTCACCAGGAGAACTTATATTCATACAAATTCTGGTTCTCAAGCTATTTTATCTCCCCGCAGACTGATTTATTTAGAGCCTGGCCTGCTACTTACTACCCGCAAGCCCAACACCATTTACTCTGACGCGAGAAAACTCTGCATCCACATCTTAAAAGACGGATAGAGTTTTAAAGTGCGACCATCCGCGAGATAACCAACAAGGCGCATTCATAAGCTTACATAGCGCGGGTTATGGCGTGCGAGCCTATCATAC